TTATTAGCAAGAAGTATTTGAGCACGACGTTTACGAAATAATTCAAGAAAATATTGTAAACGAGCATAATTATGATCTAATATAGACATATCGACATGAAAACGATCGAAGATTGTTAAAAAGTAATTCTTATAATGATTGTACATCAATGATGATGTTGACGAACTTGGATCTGTCATAGTAAATAAGCATTTATACTCGCCTGGTTGACGACGTCCTAATTCTGTACGTGATAATTGAATTGGAGACACATTGGCTAATAATAAATTCAATGGATTATCTGCGTCATTATTATCACTACTTGGAAATGTTGGTAAAATTGACAGACGGTGTTGATTATAAAAATGAAGTGTACGTGGTATATAATTCGGTTGATAAAGACCAATCGGTGTTTTGATTGGTGTTACTATATCAATAATTTCGATGTGTGTTGTTGCTGTTGATGCTGTTCGTCGGTGTCGTCTTGCCGATGGCTCTCTTGGTGTCAATGATTTTTTGAGTCGTGATAGTTCCATGGTAGTAGCTGCCAGACGACTTGTTGTTTCTTCAGTATGTTGTTCCTGTGCTGTTGGTGTGGAATATTGAGTAGTTTCCATTAAATGATCACCATAGTTTCTATTCTGATCATTTTTTCTCATTATTATCTTCATCCGAACTGAATAGATCCGACATATGTATGTCAAAATTAGGAAGAACTATATTTTCATCCATTGTTAAAGTGAAATTGTAAAAATGAATATCCTTTATATTGCAAAAGTCGTTTGAGACAAACGTAATATCTAGAATATAAGGAATAAATGAAAATCATTTAGTCAAATACCACGTACCATATAACATTCGTTTATGTGATAACAAAAGAGAAATATAAAAGAAATACATCGTACCTGTCTTCGACGTCGACGAATACAGAATGAAGAAATGTCTTATAATGCGCAGCTATTTATAAAAGCGAAACAAAGAGAGAGAGAGAGACAGAGTGATCGATTTGTAACATTTATTTTTCTCTTTCTTTCTTGAATATGATTGGACAAAAAAAAAGAATGTGAAGAGAAGACATTTTTACAACACAAAGAAACAAAGACAGACAATGAACGACAGTCAAACGAAAAGAAATACAATACTGAAGAAAAAGAATTTTGTTAACATTTAATAAATATCTATGATTTTCTACAGACGAGTAGTTTGAATTCGGCATTCATCGATTTTATTCGTTGCTATACCAGATCTTTCTTCTTTATTCTGTTGAATTTCATAATCCCTAAATGTAATTTCTTCATAATGTCTCGATTCGCTTCGTCCTTGTTGACTTCTAATCCGAGACATATGATGTTGTAACAAATAGATAATTTGAAAATTTACCAAAAGTAAAACTAAGATTCCAAGAAGAATAATAATGAGAAGAGGATGAATAAAAACTAGATCTTTCTTTTCAGTCATTACAGGTACTGATACAGGTTGTATGGTGGTAGTATTAATGTTCTCCTGAAACTCCGTATAATATATTGAGTCAATATATTCTTTGAGAATAGTATCTTCGTAGATTGATGGACACCAAAGATATTCCGGATTCGTAGCATTTATTGGAAGAAGAAAACATTTCGTTTCTGGAGTGTCAGTCATTCTAACTGAAATTATTGGTAAATCGAACTGATCGAGGAATTTCAATCTGAAAACTAAAAGAAATTAATATCCAAGTCTAAATATGTATGGGTATCATTCTTCAAAAAACAAGAATAAGTTAGTAAAAACTAATAATCTATGTTCTAATAATATTTAGATAAACTAAAAATGGATAGTATATTAAGAACTAATTGCGAGGTATTTTAGCAGACACAAAGTTTTTTTTTTTTGATAATTGAAATTGAAGTGATCGTAGCCAGTTATAAGATCAAGGTATCGACGCACTCTTTTGGTTAAGACCCGTGACCTAGAAATAGGACCAAATGAAATCGATGTAAATCGGCTACACATACGTTTTGTCGAGTTTTGTTTTTCAGTGATCATAACTTTACCTGTCTTGTGTTATCAATAGCATCAAATACACCGAATTTCATAAGATACTGTTGAACAGGTGAATAGGTTCGTTTTTGTCGCGACAAATTCTTATATAATTCATAATAGAGACCATATGCAATGAATAAGACCCAAAAGATGAGAACGGTAAATCCCACTGCTAGAATGCAAATCTCTAGATGATTCTTTTCTATCATAAATATCGTTTGAGTAGTTGAGGAATTGAATTGGTTTCGAGCAGTTTGATTACGAAAATCGACAAGCGTTTGTGATGTGTCTACAATTGGTTGCAATGAAACTGTAAATCCTTGATCATCCGTTGTATTCATGTTTATTTAAAAAATTTTCAGCCTTTTACTCTTAGTGAGGCAATAAAATGAAATAGCGAAACGATGATGTAGTCTAGAATGAAACAGAAAAGAAAGCAATAACTATAAGGCAAAAGTAGGAAATGAAGAGTTTTTATAATTAATCTATATATGCTACGACAATTATTTGAACTAAACAGCAAAAAGCAAAACTACAATCTAATTCATCAAGAAGAGAAAAAGAAAACAGTCATTAAAAATTCGAGACCATTGATGAGTTGTTGTCTTTAAACCAAATCTTCCTAAAAACAAAACATCGTTTGAATTATAATTATAAGATGGTTAAATTCTGACTTTGAACTCATGTTGTTGTTGTTGTTGTTGTTGTACAGGTTCATTTTGAAGTATTTCATTTTGAATAGTGTCAGGTTTACTATGGTCAGTTTTATTGGCCTTGGTACAGATTGTTGAACAAATGAAAAGAATTGCTAACATCGTTATCAGAATAGTATAGATAAAGACGATCATCAGAAGAAAACCATTGTTATTAACCATAAACATTGGTTTTAGTGAGGTATTATTACTAGCCGTACCATTAGAAATATTTTCTGTAAGTGTATAATTCATGTTAGAAAAATTATCTGTTGAACTCAAGGAGAACAATAGACTACTATTGCTGCATCTTGGAGATAGAGAAAATGCACAATTCCATATATTGTAAAACATTTCCATTAGTGTATTGTGCTGTTATCTGTGGATCGTAGAATACGATTAATCTAGTGATCTGAAACATAAATTATATATATACTTCATGTACAAGTTTTTTAGTCTTCAACTGCTATTTATTCTAAATGGCTTAAACTATAAACAAATCGACAGGAAGATATTAGATCAAGAAGTTTTTCGACGTGAATATTGCTTTAGCTGCTTGTCCCACAAAACCAGTAGAGCAAAATATGAGATCAAAGATAATACTTAGTCATCAATATTTGATTCACAGAAAAAGAAAAATCTATATAAATCTTTTCATTTTTGCTAGCCATCAGAATTTCCTCATTATATTTCTAGAAAACTGAGTGATCCAACTATAAGCAAAGCCAGCTGTGTTTATCTTTTTTACGTTATACTTTGTGTTTCCGTCATCTAATATATATAAATGTCAATAAACTACAATCAAAAGAAAAGACACATCTAATTAACTAAACGCTACTAAAAGAAGATAATGAATAAAAAAAAACATCATTATTATTTTTAGAATTTGATGCGTAAAGTTACAAAGATAAAAGATACGAAAATGCTAACATAAACAGAAATCTAATGACTAATTCTACGTTTCAGTAATGGATAACTAAGAAAAAATTTAGATTAAAAGTGATAATAATTCAAAGTAATATATGTGTCAGAATTATTTTTCCGTTTTTATAAATGTTGTTGTATCATTGGATGGAAAAAAGCGAGCTACTGATGGACTTAATAAATTTTCACACCAAATTCTACCTTGACTATAAGGTAAACCATATAAAAGATCAGTTGAACCTGTAAATAAATTAAAACAATTTAATTTCGTTTCAGCATGAGTAACAAATAAAATCTCAATCAGATGCCGAAGTATTGTTGAACATTGTAATGGTAGAACAGCAACAATAGTTGCACGATAAAAATCGAGTGTTAAATAGAACTGATAATGTTGTGGATGAAAATTTTCAAAAAATTCACGTTGTGCATCTTGTTGACGTTGGGAAAAAGTATAGCCTGGTGGTGGTTTGGGAATACGAGCAAGATAATTATTTTCAATTTTTATTGAATCTTCTTTCCGAATGACATCTGATATATTTCTGTAAGATAAATCATCGTATTGTGCATCAATTACTTTCATGGGAACGAATGACCAATATTGAGGATTATATTCGAGAAATAATTGTAAAGCTTTTGTACAATGTGTAATATGTTGATAAAGACGCTTTTTATTTGCACGCCGTTTCTCAATTTCATTTTCGGTACATGTACATAGAACCGGAAACGGTTCGCCGTTTAATAAATATTCAATAATCAGACGGTTGACATGTTGTCGATGGTATTCAATGACCTCATTTAATGAATATCGTGTTGAGCCAATATAGTCATATTCACCACAGGCACATGTTAAAACATAAATTATATTATTTGTTTGACAATTTGCTGGACAATTTAGTACAGCTTCATAGCCATTAACAAAACGATGTTTCTGTCCTGATGTTGAAAATTCAATTGTAGTACAACTAGCAGAATCTGAATCATTTTTTGCTTGACATAAAGTACAAAATAATCGTTGGCATGGTTTCATATCGTGACACAAGGAATTTGTCATATCATCCGTATAAAATAATCCAGTTTTTATCAATGATCCATCAGGTATGCGAAATGCACATGTTTTCATAAAGAACATATCGACATCAAGCTGTAAGAAAAATTCTAATAAAATTACTAATTCATATATATGTAAGCGTCGTAAAAATTTTTCATGTAGTGGAACTTTAAAATGATGATCAAATAGAAAATCTGAACCTTCATATGTACGATATTTACTAATGAAAAGTTCAATTATATGAAATAGCCGATATAAATTATAATCAAGAATGGATGTATCAACATTTAAACGTGTTTTAAAATGACCAAGTCAATTATCATAAATTAAATAGAGATAAGACGGTATTTGTTGGTTAGATTTCGAGTTTATTGGATCAAGATAAACGCCTGGACCTCGTCGCGTTAATTCAATGACCGATAACTTCTCTGCTGGTACACTAGCTAAAAGTAGTGGTGCATTTTGCATCGATTGATTTGTTTGATTTGGAAACGTCGGTAAAAATTGTCGGCGTCCTTGATTATGATGATTAAGTGTTTTCGGTTGATATTCAATTACGTTTTCTTCATCCAAAGGAAGTGTTGGTCGAGTTAATTTCAATGGACAGTGCCATTTTGATTTCTTGAGTGACATGATTCGATTAGTATTGCTCTTCAGATGATCTGAAAACAAGTATTGTCGATGAACGAAGTAATACGATTAACAAAATAATAATTATTATTAATCTAAATAGAAGAAACGCAATTAAGAGATCCATTTGAGTTGAATTTCCTTTCTAATGATAATGTTTTTGTCTAAAACTCAATACGAAAAAAAAACAATAAAATTATACATCGGAATAAAACGAACTATGAAACTACTACTCTACGAAGAAGTTATTCAGTTTTACTTTATGTTATTTTTATATTGTTGCCTAAATGAAAACTACGAAGTGATTGACGATGAACGTATTATGTTTTCACACCATACTCTATGAAAAGGTAATCCATAAAATTCGTACGTATCTTTTGTACGTAAATTAAACATATTTAATTTTGTTTCGGCATGTGTTGCAAAGAGACATTCAAGTACTTGACGTAATAATGTTGAACAATTTTCTGGTAGAACAGCTATAACAGTAACATTATAAAAATCAACTGATGTAAACATTTTTTCATCATGACTTTTTGTTATATGTAACTTTTCAAAGAATTTTCTTTGCTTTTCTTGTTGACAATTTGAAAAAATATAACCATTCGGTGGTACTGGTACATTTTGAATATATAAGTCCGTAAAATTATTTATAGGCGATACTTCGATTATTCTATTTCTATCATCAACTATTGCTTGATCAAAACTTATTGGAATAAAACAATCATAATTAGGATTCACATTTAAAAATAATTGAATAACTTTAGAACAACGTGTTGAATGTTGATATAAACGGATGAGTTCTTTTTGTTTATGTAAAAAATTGTTTGTATCACGATGTGAATAAAAAGACGACTTTGTAGATATTAATGTTTCATGCATATATTGATTGCCAGCTTCTCGAATAGATTCAATCACTTCTGACATATCGGAAGATGTTGATCCAATAAAATCATATTCACCGCATGGACAAGTTAAAGCATAGATGATATTTTTCGTATGGCACGTAACTGGACAATTGAGAATTGCATGATAACCATTTAGAAAGTGATGTATTCGATATGAATTAAATTGTATAATTGTTGATGATGATTCGCATAATGTGCAAGAAATCTTTTGACAAGGTTGAAAACTATATCGTACGATAGGTAATTGCGATTTACAAAATAGACCTTCATCTAAAGATCGAGGCCATGCATCACGATATGTACATGTTTTCATGTAGAAAAGATCGACGTCAATTTGTAAGAAGAACTCTAAACCTATTCTTAATTCAAATTCATCAAGTTTGAGTAGAGCATTTGAGAAGTTCATATCTTGTTGTATACAGAATGGAATAATATTAGTATTATTATTGTTCAATTGAGTAAATCGTCGAGAAAATACCATTTGT